GGTATGGGACATAAAAAAGTGGTATCGTGCCATCTCTAGTATGCACTGCGCTGTTTTAACTGGTTGATAAAGTTTGTCCAGCTATAACATGTCTTTAGTCCATCTAACTGCATTTGGCAGGGAAAAGAAACACAGCATGTACAAGTGTATGTATGATCCTTCTTGGTTTCTGCTGACTGCCACAGTTAAGTGTTGGTTGTCTGTAATGCAGCAGTAGAGATGAACTTGTTTTGACCCAAGGGTTTTCCATAGCTTTCAGAGAGGCTTAGTCACTTGGTATTGTAGCCCCCAGGGTGGTTTTCATATGTGGATGAAAGCTGACAGATGCCAAAATGAAAGGATTTATGTCATTGATAGGAAAGACTCATCCTTGTGAAATCCCAAAGCTCATTAAAATGCAAGAAAATAAAAGCTTGCTTTTTCATCTTTCATTTTACAGACTGTATTTAAGAGGTTCCATCTGGAATGGGTTTGTTTATTCTGACCAATGTAAAATGTTGTTAAATATTTCTTTTATCAAATCTCTAATGCAGTATTTGCTCTCAGTGGAATAGCACTTGGAGTTAAAGGCAGGAAATGTCTGAACCATTTGACCACTATGCAGCAACCAGCCATTGTTAAAACGGTGACAGAAGTGGATGTCCGGCCAATCCCTCCCGCCTCGCATGCACACACGCTTGTTGAGGAAAAGGACTACAAACTCTATGGGATTATTTTTTTTGATGACCAAAGAAACAACCTGCAGCCTATTGTCTTAGCTTACCCAGCGAGGGTTCTGCTTGTTGGCTCAGAAATTTCTCAGATGCTGGTGCTTTGTTTTATTGTACTCATCTTAGACACGGCAGTGCCAGGTTTCCACCACAATACATTGGGTAATCAAACATGAAGATGATTGTCGTTGTGTGCAACCCTCAGCTTCAGCTCAACATAAGAAATGATTACCTTTTTAATTCTGCCAGTTGTCTTTTGTATTTGACTTCTGAACTGAGGATAACGTAACCACGTATGTGTGCTCACGGGCAATGTTGAACGGGCACATACTGCTTGTTCTGATGGTTAAACCTGTCTTCACTGCGAATTCTAGTTTCCCACAGACTTTCCTCGGGTAAAACTCCCAGGTATGTTTGCCAGCACGTTCCTGCACTCAGTATACTTGAAAGGTCAATTGCTGCTGACTGCCTTACCTCAGTACTTTTACTTGCAGTGTTTCCCAAATAACATAAGTGTGTGCAGACCTCATTTTGCTTTCATGCTGTTGTCAGCTGCATTATGTTATGATGCTTCCTGTGCTTGGGAAGACTGACCCTGGTTCCCCATGGTGTCGTCTTTTTGGGAAACACTGTGCTTGAACCTCAAACGGTGGTGTGCATTTGATGTGCCTCTTCTCTTTCCAGCAGTAGACCCTTTTTGCTGTTAGTTCTTGGCCAGTTGGTTTAATTAGCATCACATTCCACCCTTTTTCTTGAAAGCTTAGCTGACTCGTCTTGTATTTGAAATTCAAAATTCATTTGGTCCATCAGAGCTGCCTGTCTACTTCTGTTGCTGCTCCTGCTGTCACCTGACTACCTGTGTGCTTATGCATGCGTAGTGTCATATGACTTAGGGCTGGGCGATATTGCCTAAAATTCATATCCCGATATAATTTGAAGGTAACGATATATATCACAATATATTCTTTTCTTCTGTATAACGTATTTTACACACTATAAGGCACTCTTAAAATCCTTTAATTTTCTCAAAAATTGAGAGTGTGCCTTATATATGAATTCTGGTTGTGCTTACTGACCTCGAACCGATTTTGGCTGCAGAAATCTGTTAAATGTTTTAGTACAGCTTTGGTAAGCCGTTCTGCTTGATGGATTATCAGAGCATTACGGCTGCCG